CCTCTTCTCATTATTATACTTCCATAAATCATTTTGATCTTTAGTCAGCCACCCTATCACCACCTCTGAATCCCCTTCAATTATAAGTTTCTTGATGTTCAATTCCTTAGCTTTCCGGGCTCCTTCCATAACTGCACATATCTCAGCTCTAAGGGAGTCACCCACTCCAATTGGCCCTGAGAACATAGCAGAGATGACCCCTAGGAAAGGGAATATTAGATCTGTTGTCAGTTGTTAGGGAACACTACTAGGGTTTTGCTACGTGTCTTACGAGATATCTCCAGGATGAACTTTCCTTTTGTTTGGAGATTCTCATAATCCACGTGTGCTACTTCCTTTTGCGACCCATTTAAATGATGTAGCACAAGTGACGTCATCATTTAGTGGGCGTGCCTTTACTAGGTCTACGGAGTGCCTTGTTATGCACGTAATTTAAAGACGCACGTGTAACTAATATTTATTCCTGGTCTACAATGACTCTATGTTTGTTGCGGTCATAGTTGTCAAGGTGACGCCTAGGCGACTAGGCGGCCTTGGAGGCTCGCCTCGCCCAGTTGCCTAGCTGTTTTATATAGTGTCTTATAAAATGCTTTTGTGTTTATAAACTAATTTCTTTTTATTATTTTCTTATTTGGTAGGGTTTAATCAACACAAACATTGCTAACAGCTGTATTGAACCCTCAAAGACTTCAGAATTTGAACCATTAAGTAAGAGAAAAACTTAAAGTTTTGTCTAATCAACACATTTCTTTTCTTCTTTTCCTATAACAAAAATAGGGGTTCAGTCCCCATATTTTTTGAATTTTCTTTTCTTTCTTCTTTTCTTCTCATAAATATGTTGATTTTCTAGACATAAACATGAAGTTTATAATTTTTTAATGAAAATTATGGATAGTTATTAAGGAAAGATGGTTATGGAACCTAGGGAACTACCTAGCATATCTATTTTTTACTTAAAAAATTCCATCGCCTAGGTGCCCACCTTGGCGCCTTGAAAACTATGGTTGCGGTTTTGTAATGACTTCGAACTCATCGCAGCTTCGCGCGTGTCTAAGGATCTCAGATTTGCGCTAGTCAAAGTTCATCGCAACCCGTTTCGAGCACGGGTTTGTCGCAGTTGTGCGATGAGATATGTACTCATTGTAGTTGTCCGATGAGTTATGAACTCATCGCAGGTGTCCAATGAGTTATGAACTCATCGCAGGCATCCATGTGGTATAAATTCGGTATCCTCTGTGCTCTGATGTTTTGAGCGATCACTATGTATCTACACCGAGGCCTACCCATTCAGATTTGAGAACATGTGGTTACTGCACCTTGACTTTTTGCCAAAAGTAAAGGAGTAGTGGGAGGTGGATCATCACTTTATCCGTGAGATGCTCCTAGATGTGTTGCAAAAAAAGAGCCAAATTTCCACTTCTCTTCCCATGTTTGTAGTCTTTGCTTGAGTGCTGGTGAGACTTGTGGGAGATTATATGTCTTTGAAGATAAAAAGAGTGGCTGATGATCTTTTGTGGGTTGTGACAAATGCCTATGGCTTAAACATGGATAGGAAAAGGAATGAAATGTGGAATGAGTTAGTTTAAATCCCACCTGCAATAATCTGAAATAAAAGAAAAGAAAAACAGGAGACAAGAAGAAGATTAAGGAGATGGAAGAGAGAGAATTGATAGAGGAAGATGGAAGAAAGGGAAGGGGAAGAGAGAGTAGTTCGATCCTCTCTTCAGCCCCCAACTATATCTTTTATTTTTTGATCGTAATTGTTAGAGTTGGCTGAGTAGGGATAATTCTGTCTTTTCATCATATTTTAAGTTGTACTTTGTCAGTTTAGTTTTATTTTAAGTTACAATGTCCCATACTTAAGTAGGGGCATATTGGACATTGTAACCTGAATAGGTAAGTATATATATTTGTGGTTGGCTGGGAGAGATGTCTCGTCTTCTCAGTTTGATAGTTTTCTCTTCTTCCCTTCTTCTGTTCTTCTTTCTTCCTCTTTTTCTCTGAACTGGAATCGACTGAATCATCAAAATATGGTATCAGAGCAATAAATGGGAGGAAACAAGACTGCAATCTCAAGTTTTTGGTGCTGCTATCAGTGCTTTTCTTTTTTTTTTTTTCTCTTTTTCTGGGCTGCAATCTGGGTTGCAGGTGATAGAAGGCTGAGGCAATGGCAACCTATTCTGGTGCTCCCAGAACTGCTGTGATGTGGGTTACAGGTGAGAGAGAAGTGCGGCAACCCTAGTTTGGTGTTTTCTGGACTGCTGTGACCATGTGTGACAGCCCCAGTGATCATGAGGTAATGTGCGTGGTGGTCTGAGCCCTCCACTGACCAGTTTCAAGAGGGGTTTCTCTAGTTGGAACAGTTTTTGGTGTTAGAAGAAAATTATGATTTTTTTTTTTGTATTGGAAAAGGTGGCCAAATGTCTCTGATTGGTATCCCATATGTAGTGTCATGGTGATTGGATGAGAAAGTGCTGTAAGGTGGTGAGTCATGAGTGAACTACTGTAGTGATCAAATAACAACAGTAGCTTTTTTCCTGGGTTGGAAATTAAATATTAGGAAGGGCAGTGATGGTTTCTTGAGTTGAGAATATGATGGCAGCAATTGGAGATGTTGGTGGTGATCAGAAATCTAGTGTGATGATTTCCTCAAATTTTCTAAGTGTATAGATGACATCAATTAAACTCAATGGTGAAAATTATGTGCCATGGGCCAAGTCGGTGGAGTTTTTGATTAGGGCTAAGAAGAAAGTAAAACATGTGGAGGAGGAGAAACCATTGGTTGAATCCCCAGGGTTTAGTGATTGGGAGCAACAGGATGTTCAAATTATGACATGGTTGTGGAACGGTATGGAAGCCAAGATAAGTGTAAACTTTGTGTTCTTAGATACAACAAAGGGAATATGGGATCATGCTAAGAAAGTTTACTTTGGACAAGACAATAGTACAAGAGTATATCGGCTCTATCAAGAGTATTTTAGTTTGCAACAGGGAAATCAGACACTTGAAGAGTATTATGCTAATATGAGGAATCTCAAGAATGAACTTAATGTCTATCATCCCTTAACCTCAAACGTCAAAATTCAGCCACAACAAAGGGGGCCACTTGATGTAACTAGGTTCTTGGTGGGGCTGAAATCGGAGTATGAACCAGTCAAAGCACAAATATTGGGTGGATCTACCCTTCCTACTCTCGAGGAAGTATTTGCTCGTTTCTGTAGGATCTCTCTAGGACCCACAGAGAGTACCACAACTTTTGATGGATTAATGTTTGTTGTAGCAAAAGGAGGAGGTCGTAGAAATAGAGGGGGAGTTGTGCAATTCGAGAAGGTCGTGGAAACCCCATGTTTGGTCATGGTAGTGGAAGTGGTGGAGGTTGTGATTTAGAGGGAGGTCGTGGTAGAGGAAGAGGTAGCACTACTAGAAAGTGTACACATTGTGGGGTTGAAGGACACACAATTAACTAGTATTATCATCTATATGGCCCACCTTCCACATGGGCTAATCATGTAGTTGTTGGTGGTGATGAAGTGAGTGATAATTAGCAAATTGATCAAACACCTTCTACATCTACAATTGTTTCCGGGAAGGAGATGATGAGTGTCCCACGAGATGAGTATGAGAGGTTCCTTCAAGCTACATCATAGCAGAGAACTTCTACCATTGCAAAAAATATAGACTTAAATTAAAAAAAATGAAAATACATAAATATATTAAGCATAATATTAATAAAAAATATAAACTTAAACTTTAAAATAAATGTTTTAAAAAACCTATTATCTAAAATTAAAATACATAAATATAAGATGTAAAGTATATTCAAATGAGAATTTAAAAATAAAATCAAACATATAAAACATTTTCAAGCATGTAAAACTTCTAATCTCTTTTTTCACTCGTTTGCATTACTTCAATTAGCTAATGTAATGTAAAACATATTACATTCTTGATTCTACGAGCCGCCTTTGTGCCATGCCCCTCAAGGCAAGCGCAAAAAAGTCCATGTTAGGTGTTAAATTCTTAGTTCTCACACAAAAAATAATGGATTTATAATTTAATTGCTTTTTAAGAAAATATTTTATCAGGATGAATGATGAACAACATTAGCAAATAGGGGGTTCTCGGAGCTTTGGTGAGCGAGCGAAAAAAGCGTCAAATTTTTAAAAGGCGCACTCCTGGGCTGAGGTGCAAGGTGCACCAGGCATGCGCCTAGGACCTAGGTGAGGTGCATACCCTAAGAAGCGCCTCGCTTGTGCACCTAGGAGAGTCCAAAATTCCTCTTGTTTCTTCCTTTCTTCAGTACCTTGATGGGATTCCCCTTGAACCTAGTAAATCTGATGAGCATATTTGGACTCCATCTCTTAGGTGTCTTTTCTTCTGCTTCCTTTTTCAAAACTTTGGTCACTACCAATCCTTCTTCTTTGCTGGCCTTTCCTATTATGTAAGTGCGGAGTGCTCTTACCCTCCTAAAATTGGAGCCTTCTACTGGGAAGTGCTCCATGGGAGTATCAAAACATGTGACATTCTTCAAATGAGGAGACCTAAGTGGTGTTTATCTCTGGGTGCCTCATGTGTATACTTGATGCTTGTGTAGTCATCTCCTGCATTGTACAGGCCCTTTTCTCTAATGGATTACTTTTTTCTCAATATAATACACTATACTTTACTTTTTCTCAAAAAAAGTTAGATCAAATGGTGAGATTTCATATTGCTTAACAATCTCCTGTCCTTTTGTCTCTTTCCTTGGCTATAGGTGGACTTTTCCTGCTAGTTTGGCTACATTGTTTGAATTGGCAACCTTTAGATGCTAAAAGAAAAGAACTGATTTGTACAATATTGGAGGAAACTAATGTTAGAATTTTTGAAGACAAAAAGAGATGTGGCGATTATTGAGACCATTTCAGTAAGGGTGGCATATTGGGTAGAGACCATGTATGTCTTTTCACTTTTGACAACTAATGATGTCATTAGGAATTGGGGTGCAGTGGCTGGGTCTTTTTTTGACAAGTAACAAAATTTCATTAATGACAGTTTAATGTGCAGTGGCTGGGTCTTCTTATTCAAAGAAAGGAAAGTTGATGAGAACATGGTCACTGCTGGAAAGAGGAAGTGTGAAGCTGATTTTTGATAGTAATGGCTTTGGCAATCCAGGACCTTCTGGAATAAGAGTTTTTAAAAATGAAAATGGGCCTGTGTTAGAATTGTTTTTTGGGACAATTGGGATAGGGGATTCAATGAAGGCAGGATTGACAGCAGCAGTTTTTGGGGTTGAGAAGGCAGTAGAAATGGGTATGGAGAAACTTGTCATTGAGGGTGATTAAAAAATTGTATTACGCTGACAGCTGGCTACGTAGTGATGCAAGAGCATTGTGGATTTATAGGAAAGAGATCCAAGCAGTTGAGATGGCTATCAAGAAATATTCAATTGATGAGGGTTCAATGGGTGCAAAGGTTCACAAGTAGTATCATCGACACTCTTGCCAAAGTGGAATGAAATCAAACTTTTTTTGGCTCAAGTGTAAATCATAATGATATGGGGTGAGGTAGAGGGGTTATTTTCTTTTTGTTGTAATTAATGGTAATAGTGTACATGTTTTAATTTAATAAAATGTTTCTGTTACTCATAAAAAAATGTGGATTCAAGCAATTAATAACAACAGAGAGGGAAGAGAGAAAGAATAGAGAGAGAAGAGAAGAGAAACAAGTGAGAGGCCTTGCTATGCATGCACAGGATTCTGTTACTTTATATGAGACATTATAAAAAATGGTAAAAGACAAGTAATGACATAGCAAAATACAAATTCAAGGGAGAAACTTTCTAGGCCCTTTTGGGTTGCCATATCCTCTATTTTCTTTACTTTATTGAGGGGTTAGTTCCATATACGTCTTATACTTTTTTTCCTTTAATGAAATTAGTGTTTTTTTTTTTTTTTTTTCCTGCAAAAGTACAATAGGATTTCAAAATGCATCAGATGCCTCTTTCTTTTACTTATTTCCTTAATTACTTTTATTAACAGATGCTGTTCTTTATTTCAGGTGTTGATCTCATTCGTCAAGGATGGAGTAGGAAGGGTCCAACTGTACTGCAGGAAGGTTATGGGACTGCATCTGTTCTTCCAGAGCAAGGAATTTATCTAGCGGCATCTATGTACCGTCCTGTGCTCCAGGTCTTTGTATTAGCATAGTTCATTTATGTGGTTTGAATATTATACAGTATTAGTACATTTTGTAACTTTAATTGACTTTTAATGTTCTGTTTAATTCTGCAGTTTACTGATAAGGTTGCCTCCTTGTTGCCTCCAAAGTACTCTCAGCTTGGGTGAGCATAGAATCCATTCACCATTTTCTGCTTCTTTGAAGTGCATATGAATTAACTATTTGTTGCAAAAACTCTTTACTACTGGACTTAAGATGTATTTTTATTTTTTTTGTATTATAAAGATAAATTGTTTAATAAATAATTACACATACATAGAATTACAAAAGCAAGGTATCTTTTTTTAACAGAAAATAGGTAAAAAATGCATATAAATCCCCCTGTATGAAGTTAACATAAGGCGCATATTTCACCCATCTAGTTTTTCTCTAATAATGTGTGTTAACTTCAATGTGTTTAGTCTTGTCATGTTGGACAGGGTTATATTCTATATCGATGGCTGCCTTTTTGTTGCAATAGAGGCATTAGGCTAGTAATAGGAAATCCCTACTAAAGTAGCACTTCCTTTATCCACAAAACGTCAGCCACATCATGTGCCATGGTGCAGTATTCTGCCTTTCTAACAATCACCACCTATTTTTTACTTTGCCAGGTCACCAAATTATCTCCTACAAAATACTGTAACTGGTAGTAGATATATTATCAGTGGAACTTGCCCAACTGACATTGGAATATGCTTCTACTCTGAGGTTCCCATCTGTGAAGAGTCCTGATGTTGTACTGTATTATCATAGTCCCAGTTGTATGCTGTACATTATTTATTTTCTTCTTCTTTAGTATATCTATTATCAGTTGAATGCTGTATTATCACAGTCACCAAATTATCGATTCATTCAGTTGGACACCCCAGAATTCTTGTGTCTTCTCTTGTATGAACTGGGCTGGTGACATGGTATCAGAGCAGGTCGTGAATAGCGGCTTGTAACCTCAGTTTCTTGCTTCAGTTTGAAGAGTAATCCTCAGGCTTTTGACTTCCGGGGCTGATATAGTCCTTATTGCGTAAGGGAGTAAAAAAATCTACTATCAAGGACTTCTCTAAAACACTCATAAAAAAGGACTTCTCTAAAACCCAATGTCATGAATGTAAGGGGTGGTGTGTTCGGAAGCGTGTCGTTAACCACTTCGGAACACCAGTTTCAATATTTATAAATTTTCCGATTCTCAAAAGAACTACAAAACGCAGTTAGTGGTGAGAAAGGGGTCGTATCCATAGGGAAGCGGGGGAAAAATTGTTATGTACTTCAATCCGGACAAAATAACAAGATTTGAGATTGCAGAAACACAAAATTTAATTAACTGAATTGGACTCCATTAAAATAAAATTCTAACAATGCTGAAAGTAAAAATTGCAGAAAAATAAATAAATAACAGATATAAAAAAACTAAATAAAAAATCTGCAACTCGGTCAGAGGTAGCAATCTCTGGATCTATCCTTTGACCCTCGAACTCCTCGAGTTGGGCCTTCCGTCTTACCTGGCCGAATTTCAAATCTGCAGAAAGGAAGACAAAAATAAGTTGCAGAAATAAAATAAAAGCTGGAAATTAAAGAACTGAAAATAAAAACACACTTAAAAAGTAAATCTAAAACTATGGGGAATTGGTTGGGATCCGGATCCAGAGGTGGCAGTAGTGGCTAGGCGAACTGCAAGCAGGAACCCCTCCTCTTGCCTGGGCGTTCTCCTCTTCCTCTACCCTTGAACTTCTCAAGAATAGCCTTCCGTCTTACTAGGGGGCAGAATCCAACACAAAATAACATAAAAGAAAATAAAGAAAACAAAAGGGATGGCTTATCAAATCCAGTGGCGGTAGTTGTAGATTGGCTAGACTGCTTGTAGAAACCCCTCCGGACAAGATCTGGGCATCCTTCCCTTCTACAACCCTTGAACTCCTCAAGAAACCTTAGCCTTGAACTGGGTGAATTTACCAACCCTTTCTCTAGGGCCCTTGGGGTCCTTTTTATAGAGAAGGGTGGACAAAACTGGGATTAGAGAGGAAGAGATGGGCAGCTCTTGGGTTTATGCAAAAATATGGGTGCCCTAGGGTTTGAGAATGGAGGGTTAGGATTGTTCTAAGGAGATCTTAAGGCTGAGATGAGGAGGAGAGGGTGCCCAATATTATGTAGGGCTGAGATTTGGGCGCCTATAGCTGGAGAAAGGTGATTGGTCTGTGTGATGTGGCGTCCTAAGGTGATTGGTTGAGGTTTAGGGAGTGAGGTGTAAGGCTAGGATGCTGTCTAGGGAGAGATTTAAGGGTATGAGGGGCTGCTAAGGCTTGGATGGTTGAGATTAGAGGTTAGGAGAGAGTGGAGGGTGGAGATTTGATAACTAGGGGTGGCTAGGGTTTGTTAGAGGTGAAAAGGATGAGTGGGGAGGCTCCCTAGGGTTTGCTAAGGAGAGGGGAGTATGCTAATACAGTAGGAGGGGCGCCTATCTGGGTTTGGCAGATAGGAGGTGCCCTCCTGTCCTCAGTTTTTCACAGAAACACCCCCACTCAGCTGGAATTCACACTAGCTTCCAAAAACTGCATTTCAGCCCTGGAACTTCCCTAGTTTTGCCCAGGATTTGAACAGGGACCCTTAGAGGTCACAATATTGAATTTAACTGGGAAAAAGGGCACATTTTGACTATTCTAAGGCCTAGGTAACCGTAAAATGATGCCCGTTAAGGCATCAAAATACAGAGTTATCAAGGGGTTTGGACACATTGTCTCTCATTGTAAGAAGAATGTTTGCACCTATTGCACGGTCATATTATTCCAGATTGCCCTGTTCGGCCATCTAAGGGAACTATGAAGAAGAATCAACCATGAGCATATCAAGTGACCGAGGGATAGGCTACTGATGCATCTATTACTAAAGCCTACCCTAAACCCTCCAAATTAATTTTTTGAGACCCACTACACATTGTTACTGCCAATGGTTAGAAGTTGAACATCATTGGGAGTAATGATTTTTGCCTCAATCTCTCACCCTCAACTTCCTTTTCCCTTAGTAATACCTTTGTTCCCAATCTTACTACTAGTCTTGTTTGAGTTGGTCAACTTGTTGATGAAGGTCACATTTTGACTTTTTCCTCTAATGGTTGTTTCATTTAGGATTTGAGTTGGTCAACTTGTTAATGAAGGCCACATTCTGACTTTTTCCTCTGTGGATGATATGTTATTGATCGGAGATGGTGAAGGAATTTGAGAACTCAAATCACTTCTTAGGACTTGAAATCCAAAGGAGTAATTGGGGATATTTTGTTTTCCAACACAAGTATGCATTTGATATTGTCAAAGTTAGCAGGTCTTACTGATAATAAGCAGGTTTACACTCCCTTGGAACTAAATGTTAAGTTGTCTTAGTCAGAAGATTCTTTACTGATGCTTCCCTCTATCGACAACTTGTGGGGTAGGGCTCCCACACATCAATGGTGGGAGGGCTCCCACACATCAATGGTGGGAGGGCTCCCACACATGAAAGTGTACATGAAATGCAAAATCAACACTTTTATTAATCAAAATAAATGAAGTTTTACAATGTTTGCTCACTTGACATGTCTGACACTACTACAATGACATAAATACAATTATAAAAGAATTTTGGAAACAAGATTCTCAATGACTGGAAGGACACATGGCCTAATGGGCAATGTCACATATAGATTTTGCTGTTATTACACTGACTCAAAATTATCCACAAGTACAATGGGTTTAAATGCTTCTAGGCTATTATCCAAAATATAGGGTCCATTGACAACATATTCCCTATCAATCATTTTTCCTAAAGTCAAATACTGAAAAGTATAAGAATTAGGTAGAAAGGTTACACAACAATTCAAGGAAATTTCTATATTACTGATGGAAAAAGATTAGTAGGTAACATAGAAACATGAAGAACAAGTGATATGTCAATACCAAGCGGAAGAGATATGGTTATTTGCATACTCCTTGCTTTTTCCATCTGTTATTGATGACGATGAATATACATACATACTATATATATATGTATATGTATGTACGTGTGTGTGTGTTCTTAATGCATTATTTAATTTAATATTTATTTATTGCATTCTTTCTTTGCTATGGTTCTTAGGGGTTGCATACTCTGCCTTTTCCATCTGCTCTTGATGACTGCATATCATATGGTTATTTTTTCTTATATGTTTTATTCTATTGGGTCCATGTTGATGTCATTCACTGTTTGAGTTTTGAAAATTTCACAGGAACGATGGTCTTCTAGCTTTCCTGGAGAACTTTCTGAAGGATCATTTCTTGCCTACAATGTTTGTTGATTATCGGAAAGGCATACAACAGGCTATATCGAGCAAGTCTCATGAACTCATAATTCAATCAGTGAAATATTACTATAATAATAGCAAAGATACAAGGCGGGGATCAAATATTTTATATTTTGAGTATGCTTAAGACAAAATTAGAGTATTGTAAATTGCTAATCAACAGGTAGAAAATATTATCATAGTTTAATTGCTATTGATGATTTGAATGACCTGGAGTAGGTTATAAACTCGTATTTTTATTATAATGAGTAAACATTTAAACCTTTTCCTTTCTTATCAATAACAATTCTTTCATTGCTAGAGTGGAAATCATGAAATGAGCAAGGGAAAATTCAAACACAAGAGAAATAACAAGCTCCCAAGGCATTAACTCTTCCCTTGTACAGACTTTTCCTCATTATCCCTGATGTGCTCAGATTCAGCTAATTTTCTGTTATTCTAATTCAGGTGAACAAGATATTCACTGAATTCAGAATTTCTGATTTTCTAATGACTAACGAGGTGATAAAACTGTGATAGGCTTGCTTTCCCTCCATTTATCCAGCCTATGAAAACCTTACAATTGCCTTCTACTTCCAATTTTTGACATTCCTGCAGGTATACAAGTCTTAGACCTTGAAACAGAGTCTACATTTTTTCTCTTATAGAAGTAATGCTGGCTTATGCTGTGAAAAAATAGATAATATCATGTTCTCATTCTGGTTTTCTACATGTACGTTTGTTACCGAATTTACCAAGGAACCAGCAACTATAGTTTGACACTTCGACTTTATAGCACCTTTTTCTTGTGGGGACCAGCGTTTCACTTGAATCTGTCTTCTTTTTGAAGGGTTTTAGATCTCATACCATGATATAAAGATGTCATCAACTGGAATAATCAGCGTACTTTTCCCTTGATAACACCTATTGAACTGTCCTTAAATGAATCCTATTTATCTAATCTTCCACCTTTTTTTTTTTTGTAAATAACATTTCATTGTAAAGAACTCCTACCTGCCCCCCAAAGAGAGGCAGAAGGCCAAGAAAGTATAATTACAAATCCATCAAAAAATAGATGTCAAGCTCTGGAAAGCCTCCCTCCAACTGCCCTCTAAAAGCTCCTTCTCAAGTCAAATAGTCAGCCACAGAATTCACACTTCTAGGCATCCATTTGAATGAGCTTTTCATCCTGTTGCCTAGATATTGTGCATGTCTAACCAATGGCCTAAAACTCCATTGGATCTCTTGTCTCTGCAACCAATATATCACTGTTTGGCAGTCTGCCTCAACCTCCAGGACCCTTATGCATTGCATGTTTATCAGTTCAAACCTTGAACCATAGCCATCTCTGCCCTATAGAGCCTGAAAAACTATGCTGTTATGATCTATAACACCTCCATTTTGTTGCTCACAGCTTGGTGACCAGCCTCAATCTGCCACCCTCTTTTTTTTTGATCAGTAACAGAAGTTCATTAACAACAAATTGGTTACAGTTTTGGCATTGCAATACAATAGTTTGTTTGGGATTCACTTTCCTTCCCATTCATAGTACACCCATATTACATTACAGTTGTATCCAAAATAAGTGTTCCCTCTGAAATCTTACACCCATAGTACACTCTTATTTGGCCAAAGAGTCAGCTATACCATTGTCTGAACTCTTAACCCATGTAAAGGTTGCTCCCAAGTCCTTGGATAAATTGTCAATCTTCCTTATGTTTTACATGTAAGTCCAAACAGCTGAAAAATTGTTATTCATCTAGAATATTAGCACTTTAGAGTCCCCTTCCACCTCCACCTGTTGAAAGCCAAGCTGTTTAGCAAATCTCAGCCCCTGCAATACTGCCATCACTTCAGATCTGACTCCCCTATTCCATTTTCTACTGAGAACATTCCTATTGCGGTGCCATTTCCATCTCTGAATACACCTCCAATCCCTGAGGGTCCGGGGTCACGAAGTGAACTCCCACTGGGATTCAGTTTCAATCTATTTCTTGATGGAGGTTTCCATTTCATCATAATTGTGTCTCTAGCAGTGGGAGGTTCTACCACCACAATCTGCCATCATCCTCTTAGCAAATTATGGAGGGCTTCCCCCTCTAGCACTGGAGGATTTTACCTTCATATGATATACTTACAGCAGAATTGAAAAACACTACTTGGAGATGGTGACAAAAGAATTGAAGAAAGAAGTACAAGAAAAGAACCCCTTAGGATCAAAAGACAGTATTCTCTTATCCCAGCCAAAGAGAAGTTAAATACTCCTGACAAACAGTTTAACAACTCAATCATTTTTTGAAGGTAAATAAAAATTTTATTAAAAGAGAAAAAGAAATACAAGGAAGGTAATAAGCAATCACCTGAGAGAGTAGACAACCCAAACACTAAATCCCAATAGAAAAGCCCCAAGTCCCTTGACATAAAAAAAAACTAGCCCTTCAACCATTTACTGTTACAAGAGCATCATCATCATCATCATCCATGCTTTATCCCAAGTACAAGAGTTCGGCTACACAAATCCTGTTTTGCCAATCTGTTCTATTTAAAGCCATATCCATTTTGAAATTATTAGTGATTAAATCATTTCTTACTACTTCTGCCCCTGACCTTTTTGGTCTACCCTGAGCTCCTCTATCTCCTTCATTGTGAAACATATCACTTCTTCTAACTTGTGCAGTTGGTAGTCTTCTATGCATGTGCCCAAACCATCTCAGTCTACTCTGTCCTCATTTTGTCACCTATTGGAGATACTCCTAGGTTCCTATTGGATAACTTCCTTCTTAATCTTATCCTTTCTACTTTTTCCACTCATCCATCTAAGCATTCACATTTCTACCACATTCGTTTTCTGGACATGTTGTTTCTTGACTGCCCAACACTCTGCTCCATACAACATAACTACTCTTAAAACTTTTTTTATAGAATTTTCCTTTAAAACTTTTTTTTTATAGAATTTTCCTTTAAATCTAAAATAACTTTCTAACAACCCTCGTGAAGTCCAACAGAGACCCTAACCTCCCCCCCTCAAGAAAAAAAAAAAGACCAACTCTTCTCTATTTCTTGAATGATGTCTTCTTTTAATTGGCCTTCTGTTTTTCTCTTTTCATTATCTTGTTAAGCCATACCAAAACAATCCTCCTTTTAATTTCATGAACAGCTTTGAAACAGGAATTTGATGCTGGTTCTTTTGATTTTTGTTTTTGAGTTTTAAAATGTGTAAATTGATAAAAAAAGAAGAGTTTTAAAATGTGTAACTGTATTTGAAGCTTCCACAACTTCTTTTGACTGCCCAAAACAGTCTTATCCCTATTTGAAGCCAAAGACCTTCTGCCTTATCTTTCCCTCTTTGTAATAATTTCCCTACAGTCTACATCATTATTTTCCTTGTCTTGGAACACTGGGTGGTTATCAAAGTTGCAATTAACTGCTGAAATATTTTTATCTCCTTCTCTCTTCTCCTTTCCTCCATTGTTTTGAAAGCTTCCCTTGCGAACTCTTCTCATTTCCTCAACCCTATGAGTTTCATTGAGGATTACCTCATCCTCACTTTCCTCCTCCGAATCTGACTTCAACACCTCCTCTCTTCTTCCACAAGGGAAAAAGTTCTAAATCTTGTCCTAACTATATGGGGTCGAATACATGAATCCCGTTTCACCATTTCTTTTTGTTCAGTGTCATATCCATTGTCAAAATACTAACTTTAATAAGAACTAAGCTGTTGGAAAGAAAGGTAAAGGTGTAGTTGCTAGTTCATCTTAAAACAGCATTACTCAAGGGCATAGAACTGTTACAAATACACTCATGCAATACGGGAAGAATTTAATAGGAGGTTGTAATTTTTAATTTCCTTGAGGAGGGTTAAGGGTTAAGAAAGTATACCTCCTTCCCCCCTTGTATTTATTTCTAAAATCTTATGAGATTCTGTTATTGATAAAAGAAAGAATTTAATAGGAGGCAATGGCAGAAACCAATGCCTAGGGCAGCGGATTACTTGTTGTAAATGCGGAGGAGGGTCATATCTCAGCCTAATGTTGTGCAAGGCAAGTAATGTATTGATGATGAGCTTGAAGGAGATGCTATACTAGCTGGGTTATTAGATCAACGTGAAGAAGAAAAGATCCATGATGTTTTTAATGTATTGACTCTAGTAGTTAGGTGCATTCTTTATACCCCCTAAGGCGATTGAAGAAGAGTGGCCAAGGATCAACATCTTCAGGATAAGTTGTACAACAGGTGGAAGATTATGCAATGCCATTAATGATATTGGTATTTGTGAGAATTTTGTCTCAAGAAATGGTCACTAAGTTGAATCTCAAAACTAAAATACCTCCCAAGGCTTGTCACATTGCATGGATCAAGAAAGAAGAAGTTAACATGACTAAGTAATGCTTGATTTCTTTTTTCCATAGGCAAGAAATGTAAGGAAAAAGTTTTATACTTTTATGTGATGTTGTAGAGATGGAAGCATGCCATTTACTCCTAGGCAGGCCATGACAATTTGATAGAAAGACAGTTCATTTGGGAGACAAGAACACCCATGTTTTTATCAAGGACAGGCAGAAAATTGTTCATGCACTAATGAAGGATGAGGATTTTTTCAAATCCTCTAGGGAGGTGGGAAAGCAAGTGCTGACTACTGAACCATTTAAGGACAACCTGCAAGAAAGTGGTATAGCATATGTGCTAGTTGTTCAAGAAGTGTAAGAGGAAGGTTAACTTGATATTCCTCATGAAATTCATCAACTACTAGAAAAATACATAGAAGTTATCCCTATTGATTTGTCTGATGGATTGACCTCTAAGTCTAAGAGGAGTATCCAATACCATACTAATTTAGTTCCTAGTGTTAGTCTACCCCATTTGTCAGACTGTATGATGAGTGTTAAGGAGCATGAGAAGCTGCAAAGACAAGTTGATGAGTTACTAAGAAAGGGTTTCTTCTTTTGTGAATCAATAAGCCCACGTGCTGTACCTGCCTTGTTGACACCAAAGGCAGGAACTTGGAGAATATGTGTAGACCACATTTCATAATTTTGATATTGATGAA